AAAAAACAAGTTAGGGCATTTGTCAGTAAATGGATGGAAATGGAAAATATCATGCTAAGTGAAATAAGCCAAACTCAGAATCTCAAAGGTTGAATATTTTCTCTTATATGTGGATGTTAGAGTAAAATAAAGAAAAGGGGAGAGAAGAATAGGATAACAAAGAACCCATCAAACAGAAATTAATAGATGAGTGAAAGGAAGTCTAGTAGAGTAGAGGAAAAAGAGTGGGAAAGGTAAAGGAGGAGGGGAGGGAAAAGGGGGAAATCATGAACTAAAATCAATTTCCATGGATGTATGAGTGTGTCAGGATGAACCCAACTATTATGTRTAACTATAAAGCTCTTAAAAAACAAATTAAATAGGCTTTTGCTCAGGAGACTGAAGCAGGAGGATTGCAAGTTCAAGGCCACCCACAGCAATTTAGTGAAACCCTTATCAATTCAGCAAGACCCTGTCTGAAAATAAAAACTCAAAGTACTATGGATATAGCTCAGTGTTGAAGTTCCTAGTACCACACACAAAAATAAATAAAACTTAAAATTAGGTAGGCTTTTATAGCCTGACACACACCTCCAAAATACATTATAATATTAAAAAAGCAAATTGCAAAAGTATACATGTATGCATACATATAATTATCCCATTTATGAAGGACAGCATATATTTGTATACCTATATATTTGTGTACCTAGTATGTATATACATATCTAGGTACACAAATATATACAAAAGGGTCTGGAAATGTTTTCAAAATTACCAACAAGTCGGGGCTTGTGGTATACATATGTATGTGTATGTGTGTGTGTGTGTGTGTATATATATATATATAAAAATATATAAATAAGATGTGGCTCAGCGGTAGAGCGCTTGCCTAGTATGTGTGAAACCCTGGGTTCGATCCTCAGCACCACATAAAAATAAATAAAATAAAGGTATTGTGTCCAACTACAACTAAAAAATAAATATTTTTTAAAAATTACTAACAGTGGTTATCAATAGCTGCACAAATGGGGGATACACAARAAGCATTAATCTTTTGTCTATAAATCTCTTAAAATGTATCTGTTTATTAAGTCAGGGTAGATATTATTATATTTGTAAAAACAAAGAAACTGAGGTTCAAAATATTACATAGGTCATAACTAGTAGGGCCTGAGTTAAGATTTGAACTAGGACAGGTCTACCTATATCCAAACAAGATGCTATGCTTTTTTCTATGGTATCACAGAATTAAAATAATTTATACGTAAATTATGTGTCTCAAATTCATGTACAAATGAGCTGTGGTATGTCAGAACTCTACCATAGCTACCAATATATTTTTCAAGGTCTATCTTATGATTGTCTATAATATAAAATGAACTGAAAATTTATATGATCCTGTCTCTCTAAACTAATATGTAATACTTCTTATAAATAAGATGAATGGCACCTAAGTGGCTGGAAAGGATGAGTTCAAGTTATTAAAGCCCACATATAAAAAACACCATCTGAGAAATGAAAGCAAACTGCTGAGAAATAGGCCTAAAAAGTAAGGAATTCTAAACCTTAAACTATCTCTTACCATAGACACAAAGGTACTATTCTGATGGACCTGAGAGCTGAGCATTATTGGGACACATGAAATATTTTCAAGTCCAGGCTGGGCCTATGGCTCAGTGGTAGAGCGCTTGTCTAGCATGTGTGAGACACTGGGTTCGATCCTCAGGACCACATATAAATAAATTAAATAAAAGCATTGTGTCCATCTTACAACTAAAAATTTTTTTWWAAAAAAGAAAAAAAAGGAAATATTTTCAAGGCCAAGGAATGGAATTTTATAAATATTATTGCTATACTCACGAAGCTGGCCGATCTTGTCTCAGGTCAATAGTGAAGACAACTGCATCTTCACCTGCAGACAGGAACGTACAGGGAGAGTCTGGTTCCAGGGCCAACTGAAGGAGACAAAGGAAAAGGGATAAGGTTTCTAAAGCTCAGAATTATAGTCAGGCTAGTTCCCACTCCTTTACTTTTAGGAAGAGCTGCATATAAAATGTTTCAGCAAGAGAAATGTCTACCTTTTTTTGTTGTAAAATCCTAGGAAGGGAGATAACTTAAGCCCCACTCTTTTTTTTTTTTAAATATTTATTTTTTAGTTGGACACAATATTTTTATTTTTTATGTGGTGCTGAGGATCAAACCCAGGGCCTTGAACGTGCTAGGCAAGCACTCTACTGCTGAACCCTCAACCCCAGCCCCCCACTCACTCTTATTCTGTGAACTATTCACAGTCTGCTTATTCTATACAACTCAAAAAAGACAGATGATTTGCAATTTTAACTAAGTCCCAAAGGATCTAAATAGAGATACCAAAGGAGAATATCAGTCATGAAAAGTTCATTCTCAAAAATCAATTTCATGGGCTGGGGTTGTAGCTCAGTGGTAGAGCACTTGCCTAGCACATATGAGGTACTGGGTTCAATCCTCACACCATGTAAAAGTAAATAAATAAAGGTATTGCCATCTATAACTAAAAAAATATTTTTTAAAAAAAATCAATTCTATGCCTTCAGATATGGAGAAACATGGCAATCAAGTTCTCTTCTTTTTCCAAGCTTCATTCCCTACATCCTAGTTCTAAAAAGTAGTTATCTAGTGGGTCGGGGAAAGGTTTAAGAAATAGGTGATTTTCACGTTTCCTGAAGCATCTGAACTGGAAAAGGATGCTACATATTAGGGTTTGAAAGAAGAGAGTACAATCTTTTTTTTTTTTTTTTTAAACCATCCTCTTTTGATGACATAGAAAAACACAATACCTACCCTGAGACTGGACAGCTCTTAGTTCCTTACTAGCTACCACCGTGACCATTTGGCCTATATTCACAGCTCTAAATGTGGCTTCCAGAAATAGTGCAACTTGTGAGTTTGAGTTGTAAGCAGAGAAGCTGGAGCTCTAACATTTGAGGAACCAACTACTAGCACTCTGGGACTATTAGAAATGTTCTAAAAACAATCAGAATAACCTTAAGGGGTTTGGAAAGCATGAGACCTCAAGGATCTCCAAACCAACCATAGCTCAGCTTAGGAGCAGATATAATCAACGGAATGCTATAAGTATGTGATCTGACCGAAGATATACTTCGCTTGGGTTGTTTTTTTTTTTTTTTGCTCCCTTCTTAACCAATCTTAGCACTGAAAAAGGTGAGGCAGATGACCATAACAAAAGGAACACAATGAGTAGAGAAAAAGGTGATAATGGCTAATATCCATAAAGGATTTGGACTCACAAACTTYTTTTTTTTTTTCACTATTCTGTGCAGTTCTGGGGAGTTAACCCAGGGTGCCCTATCACCAAACTGCATTGATAACCCTTTTTATTYTGAAAAAGGGTGTTGCTAAGTTGACTAGGTTGGACTTGAACTTGCGATTCTCTTGCCTCAGCTTCCCAAGTAGCTGGAATCACAGGCATGTGCTACCATATCTAGCTTACACTCACAAACTTTGGAGTAAGGACGTTCTTACCTTATGGGATGCTCCCTTGTGCTGGGCCACACGCTTTGTATTCTTGCAGCACTGTGTGGCAGACAGTTCTGCTACCCGAACCTGCCCATCCCGGGCACACATCGCCAGGGTGGAATCACCACTATTGGGAAGGAATTTGGCCTGGAATATTAAGAATTAAAAAAATAATAATAATACATAAGAAGAAATTTGAAAAGACGAATGTAAGAGGAAAAAAATGAGATGATGACCCAAGTTCACACTTTTTTCTTGCATGAAAGCTAGATGTAGCTTTCCCCCTTTTTTTTGTTTTTTTTTTGGGGGGCTACTAGAGATTAAAGCCAGGTGTGCTTTACCACTGAATTTTTCTCTCAGCCTTTTTTAACATTTTTTTTTCTTTTGAAATGCTGGGGATTGAATCTAGGACTTTGTGTATGCTATGCAAGCATCTCAGACCCCGCCACCTCCTTTTTTAAAAATTTTGAGACAGGGTCTTGTTAAGTTGCTGAGGATTTCACTAAGTTGCCCATGCTGGCCTTGAACTTGGGCGATCTTGCTTCAAGTGGCTGGGATTACAGACGTGCACCACTGTGCCTGGTGCTTTTCTATTCATACAGCTGAATAAACCTAATTTAATCTAGGAGTTAAAGAAGAGTGATAGAAAAAACCTCCTCTGATGTAAAGGGAAATTTCAGTTGACTCTGTAAGGGTGAGGTAGTACATGATTAAAAGCTCATGTGAGGGGCTAAGGATGTGGCTCAAGCGGTAGTGCGCTCGCCTGGCATGCGTGCGGCCCGGGTTCGATCCTCGGCACCACATACAAACAAACAAAGATGTTGTGTCCACCGAAAACTAAAAAATAAATATTAAAATTCTCTCTCTCTCAAAAAAAAAAAAAAAAAAAAAGCTCATGTGAATTAGAATGTACCTGATAAAAGAGAAAGTAAGAAATATTCAGAAAGCAAACAAATTTTGCCACAAAGGAAAAGGAAATTATGAAATATAGGGAAAAAGAAAAAGAACAAATTTATGGATGAAGAGCTAATATTAATATGGAGGATAGGGCAAAGGAGTAAAATCTCTAAGGAATAATAACAATCTTAGCTAGTTTCTAGCAAATGTTATTAAGTATTAGCCATGGTTCTAAGTGCTTAGTTTCCATTGTTTTTGCTACTGTTTTTTTTTTTGTAGTGCTGGGGCTAGAACCCAGAGCCTCACACATTCTAGCCAAGAACTCTACCACCAAACTACACTCCTAGCCTATCAACTGTTATTTAATCCTCATAATTCTTTCTGCTCTCAGTTCCATCTTACAAGTTAAATAACTTGCTCAGCTTCACATAGTCATTACATGTTAGGGCCAGAATTTGAATCTAGGCAGTTTGGTTCAAGAGCCCATGCTCTTAATACTATATTACCTTCTACCATAGCATCTATAATATCTTCCTGATGAGTTCCAAGAACCTATAATGAAGCTTCTGATGCTTACATGCAAGGAAATAAAAAGTTATCATGGGCCTTCAGTGTCATTAAGGGAACCAATGTAGGGTCCTGATGTCTAATTCCTACCAAAACTCACTTTCAGCTTCCACCCTAAGCAGCAACTCAGATTTGTCTGATTCATGTCTGATTCTCTCAATTGCTATTATGAATCCTTGCCTCACCTGAAAGACATTACTTTTGTGGCCACTCTCGAAGTCCAGTACTGGCTGCCGCCGTACCCAATCCCACACTACCACCTTCAGGTCATCGCTGCCACTGGCCAGCCAGGTGCCGCGCTGGTTAAAGTGCAGGGTATTGACACAACCAGTATGGCCCTCAAGCCCATGCTGCAGGCGGAACCTCTGTACAAAGACTCTTGCCCCACAGGCTTCATACACAAAGCGGGCACTTGAACCCAGCTCCCGTTCCCGAAGGGCAGGGAGGGCCTGCCATCGAGGTCGGGGCAGGGCTGTTGTCTCTGAGGACACCCAGTCCTCCAAGGCCCGCTCATCGTCTGATGAGTCCTGGTCACGGTTAGCTCGCTTGCGTTGTACACGGCGCCGAGGTTGTTCTTCTTCCTCCTCTTCTTCCTCTTCCTCTGAGCGGTCATGAACTCGGTTTTCATCATTGATGGAGTAATGGCCAGTGTCCTCCATGCTGTCAGAGTCCTTTTCTTCACCTGAGCTTTCTGTGTCTGTGCCTCGACTTTCTGTACTGGTGCGATTGGGGCCACCATCATCCCCAGTCAAGCTTAAACTCAGGTCTGAGGCCTCTACTTCAATGCCTGAGGATGTCTCTCTTCCCTCTTCAGCTCCAGACATCTCCTCTGGACTGCTAGACAGGCTTCCTGCACATTGATGAAGAATCAACAGGTGAGAGGCAAAAATAAGGAAACAGGATTAGCATAGTTATCAGAGGGATTTCCCACTGTAAGAAACCATTACATCAAAAGACTAAGAAACAAACTTCAGTCAAAGTGTTTCCATTATAAATGCTTATAAAGAGTACTTCTGAGAGGAAATCTTATAAAGAACAGAAATTGAAAAAATTAAGATCAAAGCAACACACACATAAATGAACTTCAATAAAAGCAAAGAACTACAGGACAATCTATAATAAGTTCTTGAGAGGCTAAGCATTGGCATATTATACAAAAGTGTGCCTGATGCAACCACTTAGGCACTGTCCTATTGGACAGACATCCATTAGTTGCAGCAAATAATTAGACTGTCTATAAGAAAATCTCCAGCTGGGTACAGTGGCACACACCTGTAACCCCAGGGACTTAGGAGACGGAGGCAGAAGAATTCCAAATTGGAGGCTAGTCTGGGTAACACTAGTAAGACATGTCTTAAAATAAAACAATAAAAAGGGCTGGGGATGTAGCTCAGTGGCAGAGTGTTTGCTTAACATGCATGAGGCCCTGGGTTTAATTCCCAGTATCCCTGAAACAAAAAAAAGTTGTTGAGAGGGTTGGGAGTATGGGTCAGCAGTAGAGCGCTTGCCTAGCACGTGCAAGGCCCTGGGTTTGATTCTCAGCACCACATAAAAATAAATAAATAAAATAAAGGTATTGTGTGCAACTACAACTAAAAAAGAAATATTTCCTCAGATGACTCCAAATTTACCTTGCCAGACCTAAAACTTGTTAGGGGAAGACAGATCAGCTGTTGACTCCAATATGATGTTTAATATTCCAATATTGATGTTTAGGGATTTAAAACTGGAGCACCTTACTGACTAGCCATCTGGCTTAGGGCAGTAATTTGTGAAGATCCTTGAAGAAATGGAACTTCTAGACAAAATCCAGTACATAAAACACATAACAATACAAGTGCTTTGTTTTGATGGAAGGATGGGTGACATAGAAGCACCTCAACTGAGAGCACAGTGTGAAAACCAACTGGGATAGGAGTTGGAGCGAAAAGGGAAAAATAACAGAACCACATCTGCTGAGACTGTTACATATGCTCCAGCAACTCAGCAAGGCCCTAAACAACTGAGCAAGACCCTGTCTCAAAATAAAAAAAAAATTAAAAGGGCTGGGCATGTGCCTCAGTGGTAAAGAACCCCTGGGTTCAATTCCCACTACCTTCCAATCCTTCAAAAGTTAGAGAGATATAGTTTGAAATGCAATTGGAGCTTGAGCTGGGAAGGGCTAAGAAGGGATTAAAAACACCACACCCAACAAGTATGTGGGGAGAGGAAAAATAAAACACCAAAACACAGTCTTTTTTTTTTTTTTTTTTTTAAAGAGAGAGWGAGAGAGAGAGAGTCTAGAGAGAGAGAGAGAGAATTTTTTTTTTTAATATTTATTTTTTAGTTCTCGGCGGACACAACATCTTTGTATRTGGTGCTGAGGATCGAACCCGGGCCGCACGCATGCCAGGCAAGMGTGCTACCGCTTGAGCCACATCCCCAGCCCACCAAAACTCTTAGAAATTATTAATATTAACAAATTCAGACTCAAAGTCCTACCACATTAATACAAGGGCCAGAATGTATTACACACTCAGCAACAAGGCCACAACTGTCAATGATCATAATCTAGTTCAGGAGTTGGCAAATTTCTTCTGTAAAGGGCCAGACAGCAAAAATGTTAGTATCTGCAGATCGTATGGCACTCTCGCAGCTATTCAACCCCATTAGAACAAAAACAATCCATGAACACCACATAAATGAATGGATATAAAACATTTACAAAAATAAGTGGCAGGCTGGCTTTGGCTTGTAGGTTATAATTTGCCAATCCCTGATCTAAACTAATGACCAAGCTCCAAATCAACAGTTTAACTTAAATCCCTCTGGAACTCTGTGCCTTTCAACTAATCCTAGTGAAAAAGGAGGGGAGGGAAAAAAAGGAAGGCAGGCCCAATCCTAGTTGGTTAGGGTTGTAACTTCATTTTTTTATTTTATTTTGGCACCAGGGACTGAACTCAGYGCTTTACACATGCTAAGCATGCACTTTATCACTGAGCTATATCCCCAGCCTGGTAACTTCATCTCTTATCCAATACCTCTAATGAAGAAACCCTTATTTACCATGGAAAGAGACCTCTCAATATAACTGAAGAACCTCATCTTCCCCCAAATCCCCCTGTTCCCATCATCAATTAGGTCTTGTTTTTCTTCTTCATTAATAGCATTTCCTAGGTTCAGCCTACCTGTACAGCCTTTCAGAATTCTAAACCTCTTGACATGTTATTGATTTTCTGAAAACAAAAATTTGAAGGGAAAAAAGTACCAGATAATATGTTTCCCTATATTGAAAACAACCCAAGAAGGGTTTCTTCCCCCACAAAAATCCTCCCATGTCTTGAAGTTAGGAGGACCTCAGTTCATAGTAAAAATAGCTTCACCTTCATTTTGGCCCCTTACCATTAGCTAAGTCTGTTTTGCCATCTGTGCTGCTTCCTTTGCTGGACATCTTGAATGATGTTTGCTATAGCCAGCCTGGATTTGGGAGAGGAAGAAAATGAAATAATTAGAAAACAATTAACCTCAGAAAGACTACAAAAGGGGCAAAGAGATTTTAACAATGTATAGACTTTGTCAGTTTTATAAAAATGATTTTTGTTATGTGTGCTTAACAGGGCTTCTCAGCTACAGAAAAGCATGTCAGGATTTTTTCCCCCTGTGTCTACTCCAAAAAGGAACATATTTGGGGAAGTCACCTGCCATCTCTTTAACCTTATTCACTGAATAACTAGCAGGTTTTTTTTTCAGATGGATAAGAAGGAACCAAAAACCTGAAACAGCAGGCACAAATCAAATGACAGGGTACTGCAGGCAAAGAGCCTCAACTCAACACAGAAAGCTAGCTTCAGCACTTTCCTGTAGACAAGGGTATTCTGTTTTAAGCAATATTCATATGTATCCATAAACTCTGTAAAACTCTTATTTTCATAACATGAAAAGGTGAGTCAGATTCTGAATATCATTTTATACAGAAATAAACAGTAGAAATCAAGCTCTTGTTAATTACTGAACTTGGGCTTTATGTTCACTCAGACTCCTAGTTTCAAGCTTAGTACAAACATAGATACTTAGGAATATAAGAAGCACAGCTTCTTATACTTGAACTCAAGAGCACTTAAGACTCCTAAGAAAAATCTCTTAAAATTTTCCTCCTTTTAGGACTAGCAGTCACCACGTACAAAGGTGGGAAAGAAAAGGGCATTTCCATTAAACCACCTCAGTTCATTTTAAACAATGACAAACTTTCACCTAATACCAACAACTTTCATCAGACTTGTCATTCTGGCAAAATTCTAACTAGGAACCAGGCTATCTAGCTTATTTCCTTTGTGCCACTATAGCATGATCATTCCCACCCGCACCCCAGGGTCTTACTGCCACCTATAGCAAATTTCAAAGAGTAAAGAATAATGTTATTCAGACCAGAATTTTGTTAAGCCCTTTCAGGGCCTTGGACAAAAGGCACTGGGTAAAAGACAAAGTATGATTATGATCCCAGTCCTTGGGCCCAGGCACACTGGCCTCTAATCTTTCAACAGCCCTTTCATTCCCATAACAATTATCTTTTTTTTTTTTTTTTCGATACCAAGAATTGAACCCAGGGGTACTTGACCACTGTGCCACAACTCCAGCCCTATTTTATATTTTATTTAGAGACAGGGTTCTCACAGAGTTGCTTAGTGCCTCGAAGAAGATGAGATTGGCTTTGAATTCATGATTCTCCTGTCTCAGCCTTCCAAGCTGCTGGGATTACAGGGTGTGTCTCTGTGCCCGGCTCCTATCCTTATCTTTATCCCCTACTCTCCTCTACAGAAACCCATGCTGCTTCATAAAAAGTATCCTCTGCCAAGAGACAGCTGCACAAAGACTGCTCACTGTAGGGCAGGGTTGGGGAGTAGAAATACTGCAAGAACAGGGCTGAAGTTAAATATAAGGAAAAGACACCTGGATGGGAGATGGTAAAAGACAATGCCAACTAAAAGAACATGTGAAGCCACATAAAGAATACAGTGAAGAGCCATTTGTAAGCAGGCTGTTTKCCTCCTCTAACTTTAAAGTGTATATTTCTGTACAGCATTCCTAACACAGAACTTGCTTTTCCTTCTCAATAGTCTCTGTTTATATTCTTTAGCATCTTAGCAGTATCTTCTCCCCCATAATTGGTGTAAAACTGATTATATTAATTGCAAAAGTCCTATGACATGGGGAAAATAATTGTACTACTTTATGAAGATTAAAAACTAAAGGTATGAGCAACACAGTCTTGTGGTCAACTGGGAATGGATATGATATTTTTCTACCCTGGAATTAAAACTGCTTACCGTATCATACTTCTCACCCTACTATTATCCACTCCCAGATAAGAATCTAGAAAGACAGCTCCAGAGAATCTTTCTCAAAACTAATCAACTTCTACAATAGTCCAAACTGCCTGAACTTTAGAGTCATATCTGCTCTAAAACACATATTTACTTTTCCAACTCCAAGGTCAGGAACCGGCAGAGACTATATTCATACCCAGCTCTGAGATGTGGGAAAGAGGGAGCCAGGAAGTTCAACTTATACCAAGAGATTATGGAGTAGTTTTAGGGGGACCTGGCTTAAGGTTCTTTCAAGAACAAATCTTCTCTTAGAGGAAAATAGCTGTTAGAATTTATTGCTAAATTCAAAAAGCAAAAACCCTGTCAATACTTAGGTCAAGCTGGGTGCAGTGGCGCACGCCTGTAATCCCWGCAGCTAGGGAGGCTGACTCAAGGATAGCTTTCAAAGCCAGCCTCAGCAACTTAGTGAGGTACTAAGTAACTCAATGAGACCCTGTCTGTAAATAAAATGCAAAATAGGGCTGGGGATGTGGCTCAGTGGTTGAGTACCCCTGAGTTCAATTCTCAGTATCCAAGGGAAAAAAAAAAAAAAAACTTAGGTCAACGCTGTTTAATCACTGAGTTAACAGAAGCCACAGAGTTTAGTAAAATCATTCCTAGACTAAAAAAACCAGAAGCCCAGGATTTCAGTATGTGAGCCAAGCCATTTAGCATACTTCATGCCCTCACATGAGCTATTGAACCTTTTTTGAACTTTATTTTCTCTAGCTATTAAAAAAAAAAAAAAAAAGGACTGGAAACGTGGCTCAGTGGTTAAGCGTTCCTGGGTTCAATGGGGGGGGGGGATCCAAAATCTAAAATTTTTTGAGCTCTGACATTACAATCAAAAAGTTTCAGATTTCAGAACACTTCAGATTTTCATCCTATTAGAGATGCTCAACCATTAAAGTCTATACAAATATTCCAAAATTTGAAAAACTCTGAAATGTGAAACACTTCTGGTCTCAAGCATTTCATATAAGGGACACTCTACCTATAGTAATTCCAGAGATGGTATAGATGAGTCGAATTTTATTTTATAACTTCTGCAAAAGGGTACTCTGGAGCAGTGGTCTCCAAACTTCATGAATCTCTCTCAGCGAAAAATTTKAGCATAAACACCCAATATGTGTTGATATACTGTCAATTGTCACTAAATATTCAGATAACTTTTCTAGGATAAATACCTAACAAATGGGGCTGGGGATGTGGCTCAAGCGGTAGCGCGCTCGCCTGGCATGCGTGCGCCCTGGGTTCGATCCTCATCACCACATACCAACAAAGATGTTGTGTCTGCCGAGAACTAAAAAGTAAACATTAAAAATTCTCTCTCTCTCCTCTCTTTAAAAAAAAAAAATACCTAACAAATATTTCAACATTCTTTTCCTGTATATTACTGGGTCATTTTTCATCTCTTAAGTGCATTAATTCCAATTTCATGGGACCACTTCTCTAGAAAGTCAAGATACGATAATAATAATAAAACACAACCACTTTTGGAATGAGTTGTTATTCTTAGAATATGAATTTTAATCAAAAGCCGCATGTGATAGCACATGCCTGTAATCCTACAGGCTGGGGAGGTTGAGAAAGGAGGACTGTGATTTCAAGGCCAGCCTCAGCAATTTAGAGACCCTGTAATCTATCAAAATGAAAAAACAAAACCAGTTCAACTCTAGAGCAGAAAGTAGAGTAACTACAATTGAATTCTTCTTTTTTTTTTAATATTTTATTTATTTTTTAGTTTTTTTGGCGGACACAACATCTTTGTTTGTATATGGTGCTGAGGATCGAACCCAGGCCGCACGCATGCCAGGTGAACGCGCTACCGCTTGAGCCACATCGCCAGCCCTACAATTGAATTCTATCTATCCCCCCCCATTCATATGTGGAAGGAATAACTCCCAACATGGCAGTATTTAGATAAGGAGCCTATGGAATATAATTAGGTTTAGATGAAGTCACAGCTGAGGCCCACACAACAAGATGTCTTTATAAGAGACACCAGAGAGTTCTGTCTCCCCACTGCCATGTTAGGACACAGAGATAAGGTTTACATGTACAAGAGAGGAAGAAAGCCTTCAGCAGGTACCAAWCATGTTGGCACTTCAATCTTTTGATTTTGAGCCTTCAGAACTGAAAAAATGAATTTCTGTTGTTTAAGGCACCAGTCTAAAGTATTTTGTTATGAGCTATTTAAAATGCTATCAAAATTAAAGCAGGTAGAGTTACTGTGTCTGTGCCCTAGACTCAAGTATAGGAGTCACTCTAGAATTTTTTGCACTCACCAACAAATACAACCTTAAAATCTGAAGTTTGGGACATTTGACCCAAACTCACACTACCTTCACGCCCCCCTCCCCCAGTACTGGGGATTGAACTCAGGAGTATGCTACCACTGAGCTATACCCTGAATCCTTTTTTATTTTGAGACAAGGTTCACTAAAATGCCCAGATTTTCCTTGAAATTGCAGTTCTCCCATCTCAGCCCTGCCCCCAGTGGGGTTACAGGTGTGCATCACCGGTCTGACTCTTCTTCATTCTTCAATGCATTACATACCCCACCCCCAAAATCCACTGTTTCTACTTTCATCAATATCCACATACGTCCAGTCCAGAGCAAACCATGCTGGGCTTAGAAAAGCTGATGAGTTCACTGCTCCAGGTAGCTGGAGGAGTTTAATTAGATTAGCTCTCCTGCCTGTACTCTAAAAATAGCCATAACCCCTACCAAACTGAAGGTTAAAGAGTAAACTAGTGGAGGATGGAGAAAAAAGACCCAGGTATCATTTTAATTTCACTAAGAAACTCCAGTGGCCTAGTTTTTTATGCCTTAATAAGGCCTTACATTTTTAGCCAACTATATAAAATATTAACTAAAAACCTTGCAGAAGAGGAGTTTATATATTGGATAAGAGGACTTTATAGAAGCCCCAAACGTCTCTGGGGCTACTTTCCCTTGCACAAGAGTCTATGTATGATAGAACCACTGGATATCCAAAGCAAAAAAGAAAGAGAAGGAAAAAAAAAAAAAAGGAACAAACAAAAACTCCTTAACCCATACACTGGACAATATGCAAAAACTAACTCAAAATGGATTCTAGGCTGGGGTGT